AATTAATATAATAAAATCTATTATAATTTGAATTATCCTACACTTTTTCAATAACATAATTATGGAAGAAAAGTTTTTGTTAGTCTGAAATCACTCGGATTTTTTTTTTTTTTGATCGATATTACATGGGGCGAGTTTGAATCCTACCCAAAGGGAGAGGGAAAGTGCATCTTTAATGTGGTCGGAGACCACTTGGCCCGAAGGGCCAGATACCTGAAATCACTCGGATAGCTCTACAGTTTAGATAAATGTGCATGCTTATTACAAAAAAAGTTTAGATAAATAGGAAAAGAATGTATAGTAGTCTATAATATACAAATTATAATTATTAATAAAGGGTGAGTTAGTCCCATGCTATTAATATTTATAAAATAGGCAATCGTGCAGGACAACTGCAAAATCACAAACCTTTAGATGATTGGCCTTGTTTATTTTCCATCTAGACCAAAGTGATCAAAACGATATATTTGTATAAGAGGACTAGGCCTCTAGTCGACAGAAGATTTAATTGTATAGCAATCCATGTATCTGTTTTGTTCGGAGTTAAGGTGTGTTTGAACTAACCTATACACATTAGGTCGCTCGATATTGACATAATATATTTTAAAAAATAAAATTTATCAAAGGAAAAAGTGCATATTAATTTTAATTTTAAAAAATAATTATAATTATAATTTTAAATTATATCATTTTATTTAATTAAAATTTAATTTAAAATTTAAAAAATTATTTTATGAAATGTTGATATATTAGAATATATAATGAGTTTTTAAATTTAGATATAAGATAAAATTTTAATTTTTAAATATAAGTTAAAATTTTAATTATTTTTTAAAATCAAGACTGATACATATTAAATTTTTTTTTAAATATATTAACCTAGAAATTTGAATATGAACTTAAACTATAAAAAACCACTAACTTACAAACAAATCTATCCTTAAAATATATGTAATCTTTAAACATCTAGTCGACTCTAAATCAACATTTTATAATTATTAGCATTTGGTAATATAACCTCTTATTGATTGGAATTCCTATTAATTTCTTAAAAATTTTACTCATATTTTAGAAAAATTATGGAAATGAAGAACCGTAGTAAAGGCCTGTTTTATATAATTAAAAATCCCATAGAAATACATAATCTAGAATGGAATTAATTTTATACCAACTCAATGTCTCGAGAGAAAATTTATATACAAAAATATGAATTCTAAAAATATTTAAGTTAGACGATAAAATTTTATTTTTTGTTTAAATATACAAATTTTATTACTAAGGTGGTGTGAATAGAGATCATGAAAAGAGATCATGTGGGTTCTGCCCGCAAAGGTTCGAAGCCAGAATCCTGCCGCTCACGTTACTGTTTAAACTTTTATAAAAGTCAATGTGTAACCTGCATTTTACTGGGTCAACTGCTTAACTGCTACGAAGACTGGGGATTCATGCCCACTCTAGTAACTGCGTTTAGAAGAAAATGATACAAGACTAGGTCAGTCTTTAATTAATGGTGGTCATTTGCACATGCTTCCCAATTTTGTATCATACATATAACCACTTTTTTGACTAGTCTTTTTAGCTTTCTTAAATCCTTTTTCCTTCCTACTCCAACACAATAAGCACTCAATCTTTAAAGTCCAATTTTTTTTTCAAAGTGGTCAAAGTAAAAGTTGGAAGTAATATATGGACTCCATTTTTCTTTTTACACCAAATATGATGCGCTATACAACATAACCCTCCCCTTTTTATTATCATACTTGTTTTAAGTTTTGAATATGAGAGTTTTAAGTTAAAATTTTAAATTTTTAAACACTTTAAGAGTAATACATATGCATTTTAGGTAAGCAAGAAGATTTTATATATTTTTTATAAAAATTAAAATTTACTTATACAAATATCTTAATTATTCATTAACTTTTCTATTATAAATTATTAAAATTTATTACTGACTTTTTATAAATATAAACATTAGTGTGTCTTTATTGCTCAAGGAATTAAGGAGTAGTTCGGTGCATGACAACAGGGAGGAAAATCATGTCCCAACTCATCTCCTTTGGGAGGAAAGCAGATGGATTAAAAGGAGTAGGGTGGGGTTTTTTGCCGACCCCTGTGTGCCAATTCATCTCTTACCAAAGGAGAGTGGCCACCAAGCTACTAGGTGGTTGACAGATTATTTCTTGTGATTGGTTTCTTTTGTTTAACTGCCAAATAAAATACTAGTTTTTTTTTTCCCCAAAATTAACTTTCCATTGTAAAGAAAAAGAGTGCTTTCAAACGATATTCAATGGACCCAGAACAGGAAAATAGTACTAGTAAGGATCTGTATTCAAGATAATAGACTAAAGGGATAATTAAAGATTGTTAAAGTAACCAACCAAGCAAGCCAAGAGGCCTACAAGTGAGGAGGCATCATGAATGGAAAAATCGCATATTCGATAGAATAAAAAAAATATATGCTTTAAAAAATACAAAGAGAGCTATTTTACTTTTTATTAATTGATTTTATGTTAAATACAAACCTTATTCAACTTATATGTCAATTTTCACAATTATGCTCCAAAGTCCCAAACAACATCCTAGCTGATATGCCTAGGCTGAGATAGAACATGCGGAACATCCTTCAAAGTCTTCCTTGAAACAGCAAGAAAAATGCTCTGTTTATGCCAAGCTCCTTGTACAAAGGCGAAGACTCAGTCTTCATGAAAATTCAAGCTAGATATATAGGAATTGTGAAAGTCTGAGACTGTAAACTTTGAAAATGTGAAGTTTAAGCAGAAAAACGCACAAGTACTTATCACCCCTCTCAAGTAATGGAAGAGATCCCACCTTCTACACCAACAATAGAGATATGAATCAATCTACAATTGCTAGAAATATAGAATTTTTGTATAATTTGTCTAAAATTATGGATGTTAATTCGTAGTGTTTCTTCATAAACTTCTCCAAAATAGAAGTTTTCTGCATTACAAACATTTCTTGATAATTACAATATACATTTACATATATGCTTTGAATATTTAGTAAAATCACTCATCAAATAAACCAAACAAATTAGAGCATTTCGAACATATCTTTTTGTAATCTTCTAGAGGTCCATTTATTATGATGCAATCACATACGTACTTGGTCTACTTTCTACAATAGGCACACCTATAACCACAAAAATTTTTAGTTTTGTAGCACAAAAAGAAAATTTAAAATTATATATGTTCAACCAGATTATGCTGATTGGAATCATCCACGTGTCAAAGACCCAATTCCCCTGGAAATTTCTTGCATGCCAGTGTTGAACCTCAAGCACCCCAGAGGCCCCTGTTTGTAAGGCAAGCACGTCTTCCTCTTCAATTCCTCCGATACAGTCCGGTTTGCCGTGTAATGCAACTCGTGAGCAGAAATCTCTCCTCTCCTCTGGCTCGATACCGACCAGACACTCTCCGTTGACCGGAAACTTGAATTTTTCACATCTTCTGCTTCGTTTTTGGAAAGCAGTGCGTATTCCCTCAGCTGATCTTTGTCCGTTGCCCGACCTTCCGATGCGCTCCGGAATAAGAGAAAATCTTTCAATCTCCATTTTCTGTGTCCTTTGGAAAAAGAAATTACTGACAAAATTGAGGAAGCGTAAGACTTCAGAGTTCTCGAGGTCGGTGCAGGATTGTTGGATTTTCCCAATTGTGGACTGTCATGATCTGGGTCTAACATGATGTCGGAGACCCTCAGGGGAGAAAAAGATCTGCTTCCTTTATGAACATAGCTCGAATTTGAAGAAACAGGGGATCTCTGTCTCCCTCTCTGTTTTTTTCCGATATCTTCCCCTGTTCTCGTCTTCTCAAATGCTATGGCAAATGGATCGAAGTCTTTTTTGAGGGGAATTCTCAATTTCGGTGACCTCGGCGATCGTGGAGATCTTGGGGAGTTAAGACCCGGCGGTGGTTTAAGCGGCCGAATTTTGCCACCGTCGAAAAGCTCCTCCGCAGATAAAGGTGTTCTCTCCAACTGCTTACTAAAATTGAACTCGAAATCTTCGTCCCCGTCGTCGCAATTGACGTTTTTGCTTCTGGAACCACTGGCTTTTGGAGTTCCGGGCTTTTCCTCCCAACTGAAGGGAACTGCTGATGGGGAGCTATAGGCATCATTGAAGTCATGGTAAAAGGTGGAGGTGCGAGTGGGGCTGGTGGGAGCGCTGAAGAAGAAGTTGCCGAAGCGCTGAGGGCTGGAAGGAGCAGTCATGTATGGAGAAGAACATGAGCTATCGAAGTTGAAATCATGTGCGCGCAGTGGCAGTACCACTCCGATCTCCATCGTTGGACTGGGGAGCTCGTTGAGGGTAGAGAAAGGTGAGGGGTTTTATGGGGGGAGAGGAGAGGGGAGGGAGAAGGAGAGACGAAAGTGGGGAGCGAATACCATTTGACTGGAGGGAGGATTTATTAATGGTTTGGACTGAGTAGCCGCCCTTATAAATGTACAGAGACCTAAACATGGGATGGTATGTTCTGAATCCGGGCAAAAACGTAGTTAGTCCTTTATCTTATAGGTTTTTAACTCTTTATCTTATATTATAATACTTTTAACTCCTTATCTATTAAATTAAAGAAAATAACTTTCACTTTATAATATTTCATTGGTTTTGTTAATTAGATTGTTAACTATGTTAATTAACTATTAATTCTGTCAATTAAAAGTAAGTTTTTACCAGTTAATAATTAATTAATAATCAACTAATATAATTAACAATTAACTAATAGAATAATTTTATTAATTAACTATTAACTTTATTAATTGAAAATAGGTTTTTACCAATTAATAGTCAACTAATAATCAACAAATAAAGTTAATAATCAGCTAATAGAACTAATAAAATGTTTAAATGAGGGTTTTTTTTTTTAATTCTAATAAGTGAGGGATTAAAAATGTCATAATAAAAGATGAGGGATTAAAACTTGTAAATTTAATAAAATAAAGGCTACAACTAAACTTTT